TTGGTCAGAAAGATGGCTTGAACATGGAAGAATAAGGTTCCTTTGGGTTAAGGAAACAATGAAGCTCCTGTAGAGTTTTGAAATAACCAGGAAAAAAGTAGGGAAAAGGAGAAGAGCACTCTCATATGCCCAGCTCCTCACTCTGGACTTATTGGGGTGCTCTTTAGCCTATCCCCAGTATCTGGGGCTGCCACCTTCCCCTGACTTGCCATATCATTGATTATCGTCAGCTCTATCGTGGGGGCCAGGGCTGAGGCATCTGACAGCTAATGGGCTGCTACCCCACTCAGCAAGAGAGAAGCCTGCACACACTGTCCAGGCCTGTGAAAAGAAGTCAAGGTTTGCCCCTCTCCCTTCTCCAGTGCTCCCACTCACACATGAGGCAGAACATGGCATTCTGAACAACACGGAGTCCTGTGTGTTCTAGTCCTGGCTCTACCTTTCTTTCTCTGGGCCTTAGTTTCCACATCTATATAAAACCTGTTCTGCCTTCCTCACTAAGTTTTTTCTAGAAGCAGATGAAATGATGGGTGCACAAAAAGTTTGTAAGCAGTCAAATGCTCTGTGCCTGCAAGAGAGTGGTTAAATTAATGTTGCCAAAATAAACCCATGTGTATATAGTCAATTAATTTATGACAAAGGAGCCAAGATACACAATGGACACTCTCTTCAATAAATGGTGTTGGGAAAACTGGACAGCCACATGCAAAAGAATGAAACTGGATCACTATCATATGTGCACACAAAAATTAACCCAAAATGGATTAAAGACTTGAATGTAAGAGCTGAAACCATAAAATTCTTAGAAGAAAACATAGGCAATAAGCTCCTTCACATTGGTCTTGGTGATGATATTTTGAATTTGACACCAAAAGCAAAGGCAACAAAAGCAAAAATAAACAAATGAGACAACATCAAACTAAAAAGCTTGTGCACAGCAAAGGAAACCTACAAAATGGGATAAAATATTTGCAAATCATATATCTGATAAAGAGGTTAATATTCAAAATATATAAAGAACTTATACAACTCAATAGCAAAAAAAAAATCTGATTAAAATGTGGGCAGAGGATCTGAATAGACAGTTTTTCAAAGAAGACAAATAGATGGCCAACAGGTACATGAAAAGGTGCTCAACATCACTAATCATCAGGGAAATGTAAGTCAAAACCATGATGAGATATCACCTCACATCTGTTTAAACAGCTATTATCAAAAAATACAAGAAATAACAAGTGTTGGTGAGGATGTGAAGAAAAGAGAACCCTTGTGCACTATTAGTGGGAATGTAAATTGATGTGGCCACTATGGAAAACAGTATGGAGGTTCTTCAAAAAATTAAAAATAGAACTACCATATGACCCAGCAATTCCACTTCTGGGATAAAAAGGAAAACACTAACTCGAAGAAAATGAAAACATAACTCAAAAAGGTATATGCAACTTTATGTTTATTGCAGCATTATTTATAATGACCAAGATATGGAAGCAACCTAAGTGTCTATCCATGGATAAATGGACAAAGAAAATGTAGTGTATGTATACAATGAAATATTATTCAGCAATAAAAAATGAAATCTTACCATTTTCAACAACATGGATGGACCTTAAGGGTATTATGCTGAGTGAAATAAGTCAAACAGAGAAAGACAAATAATGCATAATCTCACTTACATGTACAATCTAAAATTTTTAAGAAATGACCTTATAGGTACGGAGAACAGATTGGTGGTTGCCAGAGGTGGGGTTGGAGGTGGGTGAAATGGGTGAAGGGGGGTCAAAAGGTACAAACTTATAGTTATAAAATAAATAAGTCATGAAGATGTAATTTACAGCATGGCAACTATAGTTAATAATAATGTATTGCATATATGAAAGTTGCTAAGAGTATAGATCTTAAAAGCTCTCATCATAAAAAAAAATTAAATATGTTTGGTGACAAATGTTAACCTGACTTATCATGATGATCACTTAACAATATATGTCAAATCAAATCAAAATATCAAATCATTATGCTGTATACCTGAAACTAATATAATGTCATATGTCAATTATATTTTAGTAAAAAAATGTAACACTGACAGATTTGCCCTGGGAAATTAGAAACATGTTCTTTGTACATTCAGCAAGTTGTTCCTATAACTGTGCATACCCTATTCTAAGAACTGAAATCTTCAAGTCCAAAACACCAGGGTAGTCAGGGCCCACTCCAGTCTAGTCCCAAGCCTAGTTATTCTTAAAATACATTGGACTCTAACCAAACTTTACTGGTTATCCAAATTGCCCTGCTTTTTTTCACTTATATGTTTTTGCTCACTGAATTCCCTCCACTAATATATATATTTTTTCTTTCCTCTGGCCTGATTAAAACCTTTTCCACCATTTAAGAACAAGATCAAATAACACCGCTTATATTAGACTTTCCCTCAAGGTAGCAGCTGAAGAGGATCTCTCTGGCTTCTGAAGCTCAATAGGCCCTTTCAAACTTTGGACCTAGTCTTTGAGGGCCACCTTTCTGAATAAAGGAAAATAGTTTTCCCACTGCAAGAGAGAATGCCAACTGATCAGTGGCATGTAAAGAGCAGAGCCAGCCCCAGGCTCATGGCAATGCCAGGAAGTAAGAGAGGGAGGAAGGGAAATAAGGAAGGAGGGAAGAAGGAAGACAAGAAAGGGAGGTCAGGATGAGACAGGGAGAGAGGGAGACAAGGAGGGAGGGAAGGGGCCTGGTTCACCTGAAAAAGTTAAGATTTGGCTTTCTTGGAAACTGGCTGCTATAGTGGGTAGTGGGAGTGGGGAGACTAGGTTATCCTCTGGGACCAATGTCAAGAAGAGACTAAAGGACAAGGGAGAGATTTCACTCAAGGAACAATAACATTACCTCTGCCTTCTCACATTTCCTAAGGAAGTTTGTCTCTGAAGATTCATCATCAGAATTTGACATGATCCATTCCAACCCCTGGTCTATTGTCTAAGGCACTAGGCCATGAAATTGTCTCTGTTCATCAGCAGCACAGGCAACTGGAAATATAACAGCCAAAAACATAGGCACTTAACTTTGTTAGAGTCTCAGTCCACTTATCTGGGAAATGGGGCTAAGAGTTTTAACCCTTCCTCTCTGCCTAGAATTTGGTATAATACTACATCCTCCTCAAGCGCAAGTACTTTAAAATTACCAGAATATCCACATGCTTTCATAGGTTAACCAGGGAATCTGTGTCCCAAATGCCGCAGGGATGCCACCCTTGCCAGGCCCCATTTGAAAGGCATACTTTCTCAGGGGCCTACAGTAGATGGAGTTGCTGAGGATGACTCCTAATTCCCAAGGGCCCAAAGAGGATGAGGGCAGAGCCATGGGAACTTACCCCTAAGAAGAGAGCTAGGTCTGTCTGCCCTGAAGCCCTCTGTCTATGCTTACATCCCAGTCCTTCAGTTCTCTTGCTCCTTGGAGATAAACAGTTGCTCTGCTCTCCGAAATGCAGAAAAATGAGTCTGGAAGCTGAGTGGAGTAGGGTCATGGAAATAGATATCCAGTTTTCTTGCATTTTTCCTAAAGTCTCTGAGGCACTAGAAGCTAGGGAGAGTGGGAGAGGCGAGAGTTGGGAGACGCAAGTCAGTTCAAGACGCTATTCCCTGCCTCCCTTTCCCCATGATAAGAGGTCATGATGTAGGAGGGCTGTCAAGACAGCTCCCAGGAAGAGTCCTAAATAAAGTGCTTCCCAGGTACAGATTATCTTGGCTCTTCTCCTCCATCCCTTCATCATGTGTCATTGCTTTTCCACATCCCCACCCAGGTGCTGTGCAGGAGAAATGCAAAAAGGTACTGTGAAAGGATAAAGATTTAGTAAAATGAGGGGGCCTGGATCTGAATTTGGATGATTATCTGTGCTGTTCCTGTTTTCCTCCTTCCCCTGCTCTTCTCCACATCATAAGGGACTGACCACTGCAGGCTGCATTTCCCTCATCAATCATCATTTGACTGGGTTTAACCAATGGAAGGAACTGATGGAAGGGTAGGAAAAATGGAGAAGAATGTGTATTTAGCCTCTGCCTTTTGTGCTTCTGGTGCTATCTTTGCTATGTATATTCTGTGAATCTCACTGTCAATATACTTCTAATTCTGCTGTTTGATTCCAGCTTCTGACTCAGTCACCATCTCCTCCCACTGTTTCTCCATTCCTCAAGTTCCCTTATTCTGTCTTATATTGCAAGGGGACTACTCTCTGTAGGCTGTGTTTCCCAGGCTCTCGTATTAGTTGACTTTTAGTTTCCCCTAATGAGAGACATTTGAGGCAGATTGAACGGCAAGAATGAAGGAAAGGAGAGGGTATTTTTTCTTTCCTGTGGTTTGGGCAGTGTCTCTCTTCTATGGTTCTAGTACCCTGGACAAGCCTGTGATTCCACTTTCCATCAGGTGACTTATGTCTCTGGATTCTAGACATACTTCCTTAACCCTTCAGCCTAGGTGTGGTCTTGGCCTCTTGATGCCACTAATCAATTACTTTCCTATCCTGCTTGGATTCTATGGCTATCATCTATGTAACCAATTTCTTTTATGCATTAAATTCTGTAATACTTGGTAGTTTGTTTTCTCAGTTTGATCTTGATTATAAACTGGACTAGTGGTAATGCAGCCTATGATTCAAGGTGAATGAGTTGGAGGCTTCTCGATCACTTGACTCAATAAGGGATTTGATGACAGCCCCTGAAAACGTGCCTTGCAGCAGCCTGAGAAATAGAGGGTGGTACAGGGCTGAGCAAGTCGATGCTACCCTTCCACTCACTTGAATTTTTCAGGACCTTGCTTTTAAAACAACACAGTTTCAAATTCTCTTGAGGATTTTGGTGGAGAGGTATTGGCCATTGGGTTAGTTTTCTCTTTTTCTCTTCGGTGGTCAGGAACCCCTATCTTATCAAATGCTAGACTATTACCCATGGCCAATCAGACCCTTCCCCCTAGTAACTCCTCTATACACACACACCAGACACAGCAGCCACCAGGATTTATTTTGCTGATGATTTTATTGTGGAGGATAATACAGGAGAGCAGCTCCAAATGAGTGGGTAGAGCTATAGTGCCCTCCAAGCTACCTGGGTCCCCAGGAAGTTTTTGAAGGCATTGTGGGTTTCAACTGAAAGATTACAGTTGGTGTTTGAGGTAGCTAATCAACACAGGGGGAATATCCAGCTGGTCAATGGCTTGTGGTTGGCTGGCCTGGTGCAGGGCTCTGCGGATAACTAAACGGGCCTGTGATAGTAGTGACCGTGGAGTGGCTATAGCAAGAGAAACAGGTCATGAGAAGAAATTCTCAGGGTAATTCTCCCACCCAAGGCTGCATCCACTCTGCCCTGGCTACTGCAGCCCTAAATGCTCTCTCCCTTCTAAAACGTGTCCCCTACTGTCCCCTCAATGCATGGTACCAAAGGGGACCCACTGAGGTCTAGGGAGGGCATGTTCAAAGCCACAAAGCAGTCATGGCAGAGCCAGAATAAGATATTGGGCTAGTGCTATCCCTCCCACCTCATCTTAGTGATTCCATTCCTAACCTCTTCTCCACTGGTGCCCAAGAGAGAGAGAAAGATGGTGTTTTCTCCAATTCATCCCAGAAAGATTGGCTTAGGGATTGATTTGGGGCCCTGGGACTTCCACAGAAGGAAGCCTGTAGAATTGGCCTGCTTGACACTCACCTCGGGCTTGTAGCAGCAATGCGGTGCCTTTATCATCTTGTGAGTTCAGGTCCAGGGGAAGAGATGGAAGGTAGATGTTAGCACCAAAATCAATTAACAGCTGGATGTACTCTGGATCACAATGATGGTGGAGACAGATTTCAAGGAGGGTGCGGGGACGTGGGACACGAGCTAATAGGCGTTGGTCAGTGCAGTTGTAGTTGGGGTCTGCCCCATGGATCAAAAGCAGGCGGAAACAATCAAGGTGCCCATAGACTGCAGCCAAATAAAGGGGGCCAGAACATGAAGCTATGTTTGATGCCCAGACGGGTAGTTTAGCCTTGACATTTGCATCTGCACCATGACCTAGGAGCTCCTGCAAAATGGCAACAGCACCATCACGTGCAGCTGTGAGCACAGGAGAGCAATTGTTGTAGATGCTACCACCAGGACATGCACCAGCTTCCAAAAGCACACGCACACAATCAAGATGGCCATGGCTGACGGCAGTAAAAAGTGGTGTCTGTGCTTTGACATCTAAGCTATCGACGTCAGCACCATGTGCCAAGAGGACCTGCAAACAACTAAGGTGGCCATAAGAAGCAGCCAAGCGCAAGGGTGTCCCAGGAACGCCCCAGCCACTCCTGCTGTTGATAAAGCGTTTGTAACGTTCCTGGCACAAAAGCTGGTCCAAAGCATACGAGTCATTGTTGTATACTGCTTGATTGAGAGCCTGTTTCTCCCCTGTGTCGGTGTCCTCCTCCTCTTTGTCGGGCTGCAGGAGGGAGAAGATCTTAGTGATGTCCATGAGGTTCATGTTGGCTGATTGGAGCAGAACTATTCTCATTATGAGGAGGAGGATCTTCCAGATCTGTGGGTGACAAACACAGAAAAGAGACTGAGGGCCACTATTAAAAGCCTGGATGCCAGCCTTTGCTCCCCAGCCTTCACCATCAGGCTCTTCACTCATGGGTCCTCTCCTTATAACTTCTACTACTTCTTACTTCAGGCCCCAGAGATGGTTGCCAAAACAGATTAACGGCTTCGCTTTTGTTGTTCTGCCTGCCCTTCAAACTCCTGCTTCTGGGAAGTCCTCCCTAATCTCTTCCTCCCCCTGCTCAGGGATTCCAAAGGATGACAACAAGACTTTGGCTATGAACTTTCACACCACATTTCCACTTATCTGTGCTTCATTAGTGTGTAAACTCCAGGATGAAGACTCCTTTATTCATCTTGTATTCCACCACTCCCAGTAGGGGCTAAATCATGGCTGGGGATTTGGTAGATGCATCTTCCTTAGTTCGCAATGTGTGAACAAATGAGGTAGCTCTGGTTCAGCACTTGTTAGGCCAACGGAATGGTGCTTTGTGATGTTGAACTTTCATTCCTGAGCATTCTGACATCAATTCCACCTCCCAGCCTTTTAGATGAAGTTAACCTCTTTACAGCCCTTCATATGTGACCTCCCTCAGATTTATGTCCCATGTTTCAGACAACAGAATTGATTACGAAATGGATGTTGAATGGCATTTATTGATCAAATAAAGAGGTGGCATTACAAAGAACATACTTCAAGTAAAATGAATTCAAAGAGAAGAAATAGTTTAGGTTTCTAGGACAAGTCCTCCTCTCTGGCAACAACTAGTTTCTGCCCCAGGAACACTTTAGTCCAGGAGTTTCTTTGATTGCCAGCACTTCCTTGGAACCTATAGCTTCCCCATCCCTCTGGATTAAGCCTTTTCTCATCCTCTCTGCCCCACCCAGCCTGGAGTTTTACCTCCAATCTCACTTATTACTCCCCATTATCCCCAGACCCTATGAAATCACCCGTGGCCTAAAGACTAATTCAACCTAATCCTTTGACCTTAATAGTCCTGTTTCTAGTGTGCCAAAGTCAAAGTTACTCACAGAAGTTTGTAATGTCATCAAAGTAAGCTGGTAGGTTGTTCAAAGCTCAATCTCCCTACCCTCCCATACCCTGCAGCCATGGTCTCAGGGCCACACACCTCCTTTTATTCACTATTCACCTCCACCCCTCTTTGTTAGCCTGGGACCTCAGGTATACACCTCATAGAAAAAATTGTGACGTGGGTGGGTGGGATCTCCCTCAGAATTAGACCCCTTCCCACCTACAAGCATCAACTCCGTATATGGTTTTACTATTTATTCATTTTGGAGTGCAATTGTAAGAAGAGGATTTTAGGAATTAGGCAGACCAAGGTGGCAACTTTAGCACTTCCAGTTCCTAGCCGAGTAACCTTGGGCAAGACTCTTCCCTTCTTTGGGACTCAGTTTCTTTATCTATAAGACAGAAATGATAGTCTCTGTATCATAGATATGTTAAGAGGAAGAGAGCTACTGTATATTAGATCTTTAAAGTTAAGCTTCCTCTTTCTACACCTTCAACCTCCTCATTGGCTCCTCCCCCTCAATCATCTTTGGAAACAAACAAAACACTTCTATGATCTTTTGTCTCACTCTAGCTACCTTTCTCTTCATCTCTCACTTCTTCATTAAACATATCTAAAGAGTCATCTACTGTCTACTTTCCCATAACTCATTCAGTTCTCTACCATCTTCAGTCTGACTCCACCTGCCATCAATCACACAGATAGTTCTTTAAAAAGTCATTCTTGTGGTTAAATCTACTGGCTGCTTCTCAGATCTTTCCTTCTCAGACTTTTCTGGGATAACTGGCTGCACTGACCACTTCCTTCTATATAGCTCTCCTTTGGCTTCCTGGCCAGCACACTCTCCTATTTTTTCTTTCCTGAAATAGTTATGTTCCCCTTGTTCTCTCCTTGATCCTCTTCTCTCCCGTCCCAGAGCTGTAGCTCTCACCTTTACATGATTTCAACCCTATCACTACAAGACCCCCAGTTGTCTCTTAGCAAAATGTATGTATTCACTGAGTTCCTTCAGGCACTTCAAAGTCAATAGTATCATAACACTACCATCACAGAACTTGACCCATATCTTAGTTCTTCACCATCTACCTAGTCAACCAATCCAAAAACTCAAGACTCATTTTAGTCCTCTGATCTCTTTGTCCACTCTCATCCAATGGATCATCAAGTCCTGTGGATTTTACTTCCTAGAGATAACTGTAGGCCATCCCCTCAGGCCCATACCCCATTGCCAGTGCTTTATCTGGGCTCCCATCAACTTTGGCTCAACTGTTATAGTAATCATCTAGCTAGTTTCCCTTCTCAATATTTTCTCCACATCGTGGTTAAGGCGATCATTTAAAAACACAAATCTTGTCTGTATCAATCCCATTTTAAATCCCTTAATGGTTTTTCTTTCTTTCAGAGTATGCCCTAGATGCCTTATCCTAACTCAGAGGTCCTTCATGAGTAAATATTCACCAACATCTTCAGCCTTACTTCATATTAATCCTCTACTTATACTCCAATATCCAGCAATGAGAAAAGAAAAATGATGACTCCCCATATATATCATGCTTTCTTCTGTCACATGCAGTTTCTTCTGATAGATTAGTTCTTCCAGAGTCTGTGCTTTTATAGCACTATAGAAGTCATCACACTATTGTAACTCCTTCTATATGGATCTCTTTTGCTCCCATTGCAGATTGAGAGGCTATATAATGTAGTGGTAAAACATGGTATGACATTCTGCTTCAATCCCAGATCCCCTATTTAGTTGTAGTGGATAAAAAGTGATAGGGTTGAAATCATGTAGTTGTGTGACCTAGGGCAGATCATTTAATCTCTCCTGCCTATTTCTTCATTTGTATAGAGAAGATTATAGTAGTACCTACTTCAGAGGGTTATTGTTAGGATTTAGTGAGTTAATACATATTAACTTTTTAGAATAGCGCCTGAATGCAGTATTCTGTAACCATTTTTACTGTGGTGGTTGCTATCATTTAGGTCTTCTATGACTATTACTCTCTACTTAAAGTCCTATAAGCTCAAAGCTGAAATGTACCTAGTAAATCATTTAATTTAATTTCCTCAATTTAGAGATGGGAAAACCAAGGCCCAAAGGAAAGCAGGAAATTTTTCCTAAGGTCATATGACCAATATTGTCAGTTGCTTCATTAGGAAGAACCAAGAACACACCTATAACCTTGTAATTTTCAAAGTTATTTCACCATAGTGGAAGAGGTGATACTGTATTACCCCCATTTTGTAGATGGAGAAAACTGAGGCCTGAGAAGGTATGGGATTTGTGAGATGCCTTACATCAAGGCAATAACAGCCAGAAATAGAATATGAGTTTCCCTACTACCCATCTTGTTTTTCTATTGAAACCTTAAAAATGAACACATGACCCTCTCCCTTGCCTCAAGCAGAGTTACATTGCAGCTCTCAGATTCTTCAACTTTGAGGGCCATGCTGAATTCCAGAGACTTTGGTCATGGAAGGTTCTTTTTACAAATCATTTCTTCTGACAACCAGCAAGATTTCCCTTCTTATTGTTTTATTTTGGGGAGTTGTGTCCAGGAAGATAAAGAAGGCAGGGAGTGTGGAGGAAAATGCTGAAGCTCTCGCCATAAGTCTTACCATAAGCCCACAAGGCCAATCTAAAAGTCTTACTATAAGCCCACAAGGCCAATCTAAATGAGCCTCCAGAGGGAAATCAACCCATGGCCCCCAGCTAGCTTGGGCACTTAAGGGGTTTGTTCCTTATTGTTAGGAAAAGAAAATCTAACTACTCTGTTTGTCTAACTTCATCTTGTTATGGCTTATTAATCAAAGAGTTATTATGTGACTATTCTGTGCAAGGATTCCTTCCTGATCCCCAAAGTACAGGGTTTTTAAACCTTTTTTTGTGTGTGACATTGGCCCCTGTGACAATTCGGTTAAATATCTGGTCTCTTCTCAGAATGCTTTTTAACACATAAAATAATACATAGAATTAAAGGAAATAAATTACATTGAAATACAGCTATCAAAATATTTTTAAAACTGCATGAGATAGTAATAAATGTTTGTTATTAACACATTAATGACAAGATCTACCAATATTTTTTTTATGTGATGATGAGCATAAATAATAATTCCAGATCCTCTGCCAGGACTGTAATATGATATGAAATGTCTGTCATTTCTTCTGATCACCAAGTTACAAGAAATAGTAACACTACTGCCATTTGCTGCCTACATTCATCCTTGAAGGAAATGATAAATTTCTAGTTAGAGATTAGGGGGATAAAAGGTAATTATTTGCACCATCTGTGTTTTTGGACCCTTCGAATTCTATCTAAGGCCCTCTTGAGGGTCTATGAATCCAGGTTAAGATCTCCTATGGGAGAGTGGCTGGTTTCCGTGGGCACTAGAACAGTCCTCCAGGCCTTAGTAAACTATTTTTAAGCCTCACCTTCCTCCCCCACCCTGAGGAGCTCTGTCTGCCTTCTTCCTTTGAGCCTATCCTGCTGCACCCCAACACACAGATTCACGAATACCACACAAGGGCACAAAGACAACGTTCACACTCTCTGTATTGTACAAGGGCAATTTCCTTCAAGAAGTAGGTCTGTTTGGACCCCATAGCCTTGGCAGACACACCCTCTTGGGACAGACACAGCAGGAAGCCATCACCATATCCCT